GTGGAGGATTTAAGATAAGTTTAAGATAAGTTTTTATCTTTGTTTTTAAACTACTTTTGGTTTTAATCGAGACTTCTTGTTAATTTGACAATAATTTCTACTTTTAAACTAAAGTGTGGTTTTGTTTTCTCCATGGATTCTGAGTAGTTTTTTTTACCTCTCCTTAAAATGATAATTAATTAATGTGTTGGATGGAGGTTGTGGAGAGTATTAATCTTTAATGTTAGAAGAAGTTGTGATGATTTAAATCCATAAACTTCATTTACTTCTTGATTTGGCCTATCCAGATGTTAAAATTTATTGTAAGAACGTGTAAGAATCGGGCTGGTATTGTCTCAGTCAACAATTGTGAGTGCAAATAAATAGGGAAATATTCATTGATGGGTGTAGAGTTAGAGGACTTTAAAGTGACAGGTTAAAGCCCCCAACTTGGTTAATTGTTTTCTATTCTGAAATGAGAATGTTAGCCCTTAGGTAGAGGGAATCGAGGGAACTCTAGAGTGAGAGCTAGTATCTTCCCTGCCTAGTCGATCTTCAGAACTATTCAAACTTTAAATTAGCCAATGTTCTTTATAGCATCTCTAGTAAGGGTAAAGAATATTATTGCTCATATTTGACACAACACAATTTACATACTTTCACAACAGAAATCCTATATTTATTACTTATTCATGATAAGGAGAAAGATATTTTCATATCAAGTGCTTTTCTTTTACATAAAATCAAGTTATCTTTAGAAGTTTTATTATTTTGTCAAAATATCAAAAATACCAAAAAAAATTAAATTTTATTTATTGAGAAAATATCTATAGTTTAAGTAATTGTCCTTTTAAAAAAGAAAGTTTATGCATATTACGTATTTTCTCTATGGGTTCGATATTCAGGTCTTAATCAAAAAGTTCTATATAATCAAAAAGTTCAATCAAAAAGTTCTATATTACTTAATAACGATACGCATACTTGCGTAGTATCCCAATATATATATAAATTAAAAAGTTAAATTCTTATTTTCTCCAAGAATAAGTTTTTGGTTCTATTGCAAAGTAATATTACATAAGTGAAAAAGATCATTAAAGTTATTGTTATACTGTTGCATATAGACAACCAGGATCAAGTTTTTGGTGTCGTTGCCGTGGAAGATTTAAAAAATTTATTGAAAGCAAAATTTCTATTTTATAAAGTCTTATTTAAACTTTAAAAGTTATTGTAGGAATATCTTATTATAGTATTTTATTTTGTGTTTGTTTTGTTGTATTTTATTTTATGTTAGTGTATGCGTAGTTCAGGTTCTGAAGGACTAGTGCCCTACGATTCTGAATTAGAGAAAACTGTTAAAAAAATCAAAAAAGCAAGAAAAATTAAAATTTTGAAAAATCTAAAAAAATTACAGAAATGGCAAACCAAGATCAAAATGCTAAAATTCATCAAGAATATAGACCTTTATGAGATTATGCCAACCCTACGGTAGATGAACTTCATTGTAGTATCCAAAAACCTACTGTAGTGGCTAATTCATTTAAATTTAAACCTATTATTATCAAAATGGTATCAAATAATCAGTTTGAGGGATCACCAACTGAAGATCCAATTTTACATATTGCCAAATTTTTAGAATTGT